TATTAATTTTTTAAAGTTAATTTCATTAACTTTATAACCCATAGACTGTAGCAAGCTGAAACATGTTTACAGGAAATCATAACTCAAAACCTCCACAGATAAAAGTGAGTGACCCCAAAGCCTGACCCTGCCAACCACACCCAGCACATTCAGCACTGAGTGCTTCCCTAAGGAGAGAATGCCTCTGGGTCAGGGCCATGGATGACACAGAAGCCTCTTTCTTTCATTGACAGGTACAGAATGATGTACTTGGATGCATTTCTTGTCCTCAAGTCCACTGATATCTCAGTGAACTTATTCTTGTCTAGTTGTGCCCAAGCTTCCACGATCAGAACAGTTGAGGAAGGTGAGAGTACAAATATGCCAGTTGTGTTAGTCTTCTTTGTATCTGTGAAACAGTCTGGAAACAGAAGACTTCCAGGCATTTGCCCCACAGATCCATCAGCTCAAAAGGCCACACGATAGTATCAGAAAGCCCTACAAGTTGTAATTATACACAACTCCTATTTTGATGGCTAATCCAATCTGGAGTTCAGACCTCCATTTGTTCCCTTTCAGAAAAAAAAAATTCTTTAGTTTTTCTGTGGGGGAAGAACAACATTTCTCTTTGTGTTAATTGGCAAATGGGTTAGAGAAGTTGATAGGCACAATATCAATAAAGAAAAATCAGTTGCATTTTTATAACAAGCAATTAATCAGAAAAACTCTTTTCAAAATATTTTTATAATGGCACTGAAAAGGCTGAAGTGCCTAAGAATAAACTTAATGATGAGGATGGAATATTTACATATTGAAAACTATGAGATTCTTTAAAAAGAAATAATAAACACAAAGAAATGAAAAGATGTCCCATGCTCATAGGTTGGCAGAATAAATATCACTAGATGGCCATATTACCTAAATCAAACTGCAGAGACAGTGAAGCAGCTATCAAAATAACAGTAACTTTTTCAAGATAATATGGATGCTTTGAGGTTGGGACAAATTCTGTCACCACACCTGATGTAATAAATCACATATTGCCCAAAAATTGATAGTGTAAGAAAACAAGGTAGCTTATGTAAGCATAAACTAACTTAAAATCAAGAAAAAGAAAGAGAAATTGAGCAATTATAAAATCTATATGGAACCCCAAACAATCCTGAATAGCCATAAGAAACCTCAGAAGAAAGAATAAAAATAGAACAAGTTGGAACAAAACCAGAAATATGAGCCAGTTGGAAAGTGAGAAGTTCAAATTAAATCCACACACATATGGACAGTTAATTTTTCAAAGGTAGCCATGTCCTTATAATGGCAAAAGGAATGACTCTAATAAATGGTGTTTGAAATTAGGGAGAGTCACATGCCCCAAAACAAAAACAAACAAGCAAAATGAACTATGTATATGGATACTGTCACACACAAAAATTAATTCAAAATCCATGAAAAACATGGCGACCACACTTGGAATATAATAAAATAATACATAGGCTGATATGTTACTGATAGCTACAAAAATATATTTGGTGACACAACCTCACCAAGAAGATAAATAAATGTAAAAACCAACAAGAGGATAAACCTAACAAGATTGTGTATCTCCAGAGAAACCATCACAAAACCAAAATCACAACTTACAGACTGGGAGAAGATACTTGCACATCATACAACTAGCAAGAGACTAATTTCCAAAATACACTACACCAAAGTAGAAAATATAATTTAAAAAAAGGCAAAAAGTCTGAACAGACACTTCTATAAATAGACATGCAGATCTCATGCAGGCACAAGGGGCATTGTCAGCATCACTCATTATATGGAAAATGCAAAATCAAAATCACAATGAAATATCACTTCTCCCTTTTGGGGGTGTTCTGTATGAAAAACGAATGTGTACATCAAATGCTGGCAAGAGTGTGGGGTAAAAAAAGATAGGTATTCATTTTGTGTTGGTGGTAAAACAAATTGGTGTGGTATCTATGGAAAACAGCATGAAAGTACTTTCAAAAAATTGAAATTGAAATTCCATAGTATCCAGCAATATTAGATATTTATATAAATAAATATCTGTTAAATATTTATATAAATAACATGAAAACAATAATGCAAAAAAAGAAAGTATCTGTTTTTATGTTCATTGCAACATTTCCATAAATTCCAAGTCATGGAGTCAATCTAAAGTCCCATGACAGATAACATGGGATTGTGGAATATAGCCTCAATAGTGTACTACTCAGGTATTTAAAACAATGGAATAGTATCAGCCCTCCCTGATGGCAACACATAAGGACATAGCACTGCAAGCTAGCCACAGCCGCTTCAGTGCGAGTTCGATACCGACCCTGGAGGTGACCACATGGTGCAGCAGACCTCTCCTGACCCACTCCTACTCCCCTTACCTAGCATTGATCTCTCTGTTCTGCTCCCCACTCTGTCTCTGGTGAATCCTGTCTCCTCCTCTGCACCTCTGGCCTGTACCCTGTACCCCAGTTCTGTATGCCTAAATAAATAAATTTTTAAGAAAAAATGGAATGGTATCACTGAGACAAAACAAATGGACTTTTAGGTGTTTATGTTAACTGAAATAATCAGAATGTGAAATATAGAGATAAGATGTTTTGACTTTCCTGTGGGATAACTGAATGAAAATTAATGGGATGTGGGCCCTCCCTGATAAAGTACTGGGTTAAGTCTCAGCACTATCAAGCGATAACAGTCACTGTTAGCAGGTCTTCCATCCCCGGCCAAGGAACTGTCCCAGCAGGCATCACGTTTCACCCGCTGCTCCTTTCAGCAGTGTATTTCAGTCAATCTGTCTATTCTGTTCCCCACTCTATCCCTGATGAATCTTCTCACCCCCCCCAAACACCTCTGGCTTGTACCCCAGCTTTTTAAAATAAAAGTAAATAAAATCTTTAAAAGAAATAATTAATTGACTTGTTTCAAATACATTTAATGAACATTTTACATTCATTCCACCCAAATAACTAAATCACAATACAAAACTATATTTTAACATTCAAGCATCCCTGAATTTCCCTTATTAGCTAGCAGTTTTACTTATTTCCAATTTTTTGTCTTATGGCAAACTTTGAAAATATATTAATTTATGCCATGAATATAAACATTTTGTATTTTCTTAAAAAGTGAGGCTTACTTTTTCTTCACATTTTTAAAATCTATGCATTTTAGAACAAAATTGTTTTCTGCAACACGATTTTTTTTCAAATACTTTATTGTATCAGAATTTTAAGATAATTTCAGACTGCATATTTCAAAATTTATATGAAAAAAATGAATCAAAAATATGATAGTAAGTATGTATTAGAGGAAGAAATTGCTCTACTATGGAAAAGTTGACTGTAACCACCATTTTACTATTTTTCATTTAAGGCACATCATTTATCTCTTCAGATACACAACCAGTTTTATTTTGTAAATATCTTAGTTTATAATAATCCAATTTAGATATAAATTTTATTTTATTTCAGAATAATTTATTTCAAGTGCTATATTATTATGTTTGCCTCACATTTCAAAAGCAAAGATCAGATACTGAAGTCTATGAGCTATTTTTATGTTTAATTTGTTAAATGAGGTATTTATATTGGAAATTTAAACATTTAATAAATAAGAAAGCTAGAATGAAAATTAGCAGCAAATATGTTAAATCATACATAACATGTTTTCAAATAATGTTTCTCTATTCAATGTTATTTTGTTAAAATGCTAATGAGGAAAGAACCCAATCTCGTTGGGTCATTGTGTAGAGTTCGTAAAATGCCCTCACGTTAGTATGGGGTTTTCATGTTCTCCTGCTTTCCTCCCATGTTTGTTAATTATCATTTCTAAATTGGTCCAGTCTGGTGAGTGTGTGCGGGTAGAGTTAGTCCTGCAGTGGAAAGGCATTCTGCCCAAGGCATAGTCACTAAAGAGTCAGGACAGACTCTGGACATGTCTGACACCAGTCTGCTCTAAGTGGTCTGGGAAATAAATGCATGAAAACATGAATGAATGAATGAATGAATGAATGAATGAATGAATGAATGAATGAATGAATAAGTTAGTGAATGTAAGATGTTTGTTTATATTTGAAGCATTTTATAGCTTTAGTTTCAAAATCGATGATGGTTTTGTGATCACATGTCATAAGAACTTTAATGTAATTTAAAGCGATTACCCTGCATTTTAAAATTGACTCATCACTGTATTTTCCTTAAAGCCACAGCTTCCAAGAAAGTATAAAAAAAGGGCCATAAGGGCTACCCTGCAAAGCTAAGCCAAGCCATGGCCACTTCAGTGTGAGTTTGATCCCCATCCAGAAGGTAATCTACATGGTGTGGCAGACCTCTTCTGACCTACCCACTGCTCCCCTCAGCAGTGTACTTTGCTGAGTTCTGCTTCCCACTCTATTTCCTGTGAAACCTTTCACCACCACTGCCCCTCTGGCTTATACCTCACTTGTGTATGCACAAATAAATAAAATCTTTTAAAAAACTGTTAAGTGAAGGCTAAATATTCCTTAAAGTATGCAATTATTGGGACTCCCTCGTGGCACAGGGGATAAGTCACAGACCTATCAGGCTTTCCACAGCCACTGTAACATGGGTTTGATCCCAAGCTTGTGACCTCACCCACATGGGGCAGGACCCTCTCCTGTTTTGCTCGGTGTTGCCCTCAGCAGTGTATTTCAGTTGATTTGCCTGTTCAGTTCCTCCCTCTGTCTCTGGTGAATCTTCTCCCCTACAGCTCATGCCTCTGGTCTGTATCCCAATTTCATATGCATATATAAGTAAATCTTTTTTAAAACAGCAATTGTTACTTTATTCCGATGAAAATTTTTCAGAGGATAAAATGAAAAGTAATCTCTAAAACAGAAAATAATTATTTTACAACATTCATTAGCCAAGTCTTAATAAAGTGACAATAGTGTAGGCATGCTAATATTGAAAATTCAGTGTTTATCATATAAGATTAAATGCCATTCAGTTAAATTAGGATAAACTTGGAATGAATCTTTACCATTTCCCTGTAAAAACTCTTCTAAGTAACACTTTCCTTACAGCTTCCTTTACTTGTTTGTTTCTAAGACTATAGATGACAGGATTCAAAAGTGGAGGAACTATGGTATAAAGCACAGAAGGAATAATATCCTGAATGGTTTCAGAGGTGGCAGAAGGCTTTAAATATACATAAGATATAGAGGTAAGAAAAACAGAAACCACAATGATATGAGGAATACAGGTAGAAAAGGCCTTTCCTCTCTCTCTTTTTGAAAACTTGAACACAGTAGAAAATATGCGACTATATGATACAGCGATGAAAATAAAACAGCCTCCACAAACTACAATTGCTGAGATAAGAATCAAAATCTGATTGCTGGTGGTGTCAGAGCATGATAACAGTAGCAGAGAGGGTATGTCACAGAAGAACTGATTGACAGCATTGGACTGACAGAAGGACAGCCGGAATGTGTTGCCAGTGTGCACACCTGAATAGACCAGACCACTGAACAAGGAGAGGACTGTCATCCGGACACAGAATTGGTGGCTCATGATAACTGGGTAGTGTAGGGGCTGGCAGATGGCCACATAGCGGTCATGGGCCATGATGGTGAGAAACATAATCTCCACAATGGCAAAGTAAATGACCAAGAATACTTGAGTTGCACACCCCATTACAGAAATAGCCCTGTAGTTGCTGAGAGAGGTGATACAGGCATTGGGGACAGTGACAGATATGTAGCAAATGTCCAACATGGACAAATTTCTGAGGAAGAAGTACATGGGTGTGTGAAGGTTCTTGTCCAGTGTGGTGGCAACAATGATGAGTAGATTCCCTAAAAGTGTGATCAAGTACATGAGTAGAAACAGCACGGAGTTCAGTAACCGTAGTTTCCATTCAACACCAAAGCTTTCCAGGAGAAACTCAGTCACCATGGTGTAATTGGTCATTTTCCTAAAATACTGCTTGACTGGTAAAGCAAAAGGGCTGAAAAAGAAAATGTAAAAATCATTAATAAATTACACACTTCAAACTGACACAATTTCTTCTTTGTGATTATAAAATGTGCACTAGCCTTTTGACTTATGTGACTATTCTTTCTCATATGTCACAGGGATAAAGAGAGGGCTCACCTAATTATTTTTCATGTATATGGGTAGAAATATTGCTGAATTTCAAAATATCCAACTTAAGAAATGTGAAGTTTCACAGACGCTGTTTTGAATTACTTAACAAATGTAAATTTTCTGCAATAGAATAAAATGTCAAATACAATTAAGACTTCACAAGAATTGAATAACATATTTGTTCTAGATGTGAAATACAACAGAGGTGTAACTCAAGGATCTTCAAAATATGACGGGTAATATAAACGGTCATATCTTGCTTAGCTATATATATATAGTTGTTGTTGTTGTTAAATAACTGAAGAAATTGTGTTTTAGTTTCCCACACATTTGTAACACTCAACATTGTGATGAATTCCAAGTGTAGGATTAGTAAATTCTTATTGTGCATACTTACTTCAAAGATTTTTATACAGAGCTATCTATTTCATTTTAAGAAAATGATTACAGCAATAATTTGGAGGAATGTTAAATTGATTTCCCTGTGAAAAGTAAATGTTCTAATGATTTAAGCTTTTATGAAGAAGAGATTTGTTATTATATGAGAAAAAATAATATTTTTTATTATGAATGTGTTTATTATAAATGTGTTCTAGGTATGCCTGAACAACCTAGAGTGATAGCATTGCACTTATTTTATTGTACAATAATGATTAGTGACAATTTTCTTTTATATATTTAAGTATTGGTCCCCATGTTTGCATTCATTTTCTTAGTAGTTACTTTGCTATAAACTTAATTTAATTTTTATAATAGCTCACAATTTTCCATGAGTAATAATAACCTGAAAATTTTGCATATGTAAGCATAACCAATTGTTATACTTTCCCTAATTCTTCCTAACAAATTATCTTCTAAGAAATGGTATATTTACATTTATTTGATATGCTTTAATAGATAGAAATATCCATACAGTGATACTATTTAATCACTATTTCCATGAATAACTTAAAATACAAATGCATCAAAAAGTAATTAAAATCTTATATGTCAAGTATGTTTATTATAAGCTTTGGTACAAGCTAAGGCTATCATCTTCTCCAAACTTCTATTTAATGATTCGTATGTGTGAAATCACTGGCCCCAGAGCACCTCTATTTAATGAATGCATTATATTTTCCAGTAACTTATTATAATTTCTGTAAATCCTCCTTCCATGATGATGTTTGCATTAAATAATCTGATTATAGTGCCATATCACAATGTTTAAAACATCAAAGTGTAATGTGTGCAATTAGATATATACACATTTGTCATACAATAAATTTGGAGGATAAAGAATCTTCCTAAATGGATTCACTGTATTTATATTTTCTCTAATACATTCTCCTATTCCCCATAATGTTTCACTCACTGATTTTATTTACATAATGTTCTAACTTAATGCTCTTATTCTGGGCCTCCCTGGTCCTGCAAGGGGTGAAGTCCAACACTATGAATCTATGGGCATCCACTCAGCACAGGACTCATCCCTGGCTAGGAAGCTGACCCACAAATGACAGCAGAGCTTTCCTGCCTCCCCTCATCAATGTATTTCCTTATATCTGCCTGTTTCTCTCCCCACTCTGTCTGGTGAATCCTCTCAACCCTCCCCCACCTCTAGCTTACATACCATCTCTTGTATGAATAAATGAATAAAATAAATCTTTAACACCACTCTCTCTCTTTTTTTTTTACTATTTTCATTGCATTCATTTAAAAAATATACTATCTCTAAGTCCTAATAAATGTTGGCATTATTGATTGTACACATCTAAATGATTTTGCCAATTAAAAACTTAAAAGTCTGAAATATTTCCTTTCAACATAAATTCCTAGCCAAACATTTTTGCCTCCATAGCTCACCTTTACTGCAATTTCTGCAGGAAAACCATTTTCTAATTTGATTTTCTAGAATATAGAACTTCATGTGTCCACAAAGATTTTATTAGCGAACAGCCTGGGATGTATATATCTTGCTTTTCACAATGTAGGTACAAAGTTCAAGTTATTTTTTCAATATGTCTATGCGTTATTTTTTTTATACTATTTTCCTATTTCCCAATACAAAACAGAGGTTCTTACTAAGTGAACTTATTCTCAGAATGAATCTATAAATTTTATTCTTTAATGACATGGTTCCTTTTTCACATTTATGCATATCATATTTTCATTTTTCATTGTACTCTACCAGTTAATATGCAGGTTTTGCTCTGAAATCTTCTTGATAATGTCAAACATATTATTCTCATTGTATTTTTGTTTAAAACACAAAACTATTACATTAACTAATTTGCTGTGTGTTTATAACCCTCAGATATGTGTAAACTCCTTGTTTTTAGTCCACATATTATTTGTTTTTCTTTTAGCTACAAATAAATTACTGTGTGCATGCTAGTTAATAAAAGATCATATTAATAAAGTTGTTTTATAATTCATATTCTAGTTTTTAATATTTTTTTTTTTCATAGAAGAGCTGTATATGCCAGAAGTGAGGGGGTGAGAGGATTCACCAGAGACAGAGCGAGACAGAGCAGGCATATCTACTGAAATACATTGCTGAGGAGAGAAATAAATAAGGGAGCAGAGGACTACTATGCCAAGTGGGGTGCTTCCTTCCAGTGTGGAACAAAGGCTGACACTGTGGCCTTGGTTATGGTACCTCTAAGACTTAACTCCTAGAACACCAGGGAAGCACACAATTCATGTTCTTTATTCTCTTATATAGAAATAGTGGCATCATGAGTGGCATCATAATCATATTATGTACATTATATAATCACACGTATGCCTACTATAGAATCACATGTATGGTCATATATGTGTACAAACATATATATGTGATTTCTATCTCTATATGTACCTCTGAAATAAAAACACTTATACTAACTTCATGATAAGGTGAGGTCTTAAATACTTAAAACTATTGATTTCACACAGTCAAAATTTAATTGGGAGTTTCATAAAAGTAAAAAGTAATGTTATGGCAATTCCGGTGAAGAAAAAATATACAACTATATGTGATACATTCAGGAGCAAAATGGATCATAAGAAAAATCAATGTTGGAGAATCTGCTGTACTGGCAACCTTCCCTAAAATCTTAAATGAAATAATAAGATGTGCTTAAAACATTAAAACCAGCATAGTGCTGGGGCAGACAATCTCACTTTAAACTGAGGCATCTTCTGGGAATTTCTCTCCAACATATTTAAGTGTATTATCCTCCAATAACTTGAATTAAGTAAATGTGTTTATTGTATTATTTCATTTAATGATTGCCTATGTTTATTTTTCTGTTTGTTATATAAAATTATGTTTAATTTTTTTTTTTTCATTTCAGTTAGTTGTCTTAAAGGGTAATTTTGGATTATGGAGCTTCAAGTAGAAATGAAATGCAAAACCTAATGAAAAATACTTTTGACAATATAACTAAAGTTTGTAACTTCAGACACTCACTCAAACAATTAAAAAAAAGATTGTTTTAGTGCATAAATATCTTAAAAACATATTATTTATATATTTTGAATATTTTGATATTAATAATTTAGTGACACATAACTAAGATTAAATATGATATAATTTATATTAAAAGCTTATTGAAATGTTTTTATTGATAATGTCTATTGAAAATATTATAGAGAACATACATTAAAACAAAGGTTTAGCATGAATGAAAGTTAGTGTGATAGTTATAAGAAGGAATGAGTATATTTCTCCATATCGGAAATATGAAAAAAGATTTCTCAAACTGATTTTGTCTGTAAGAGAAATAAACAAAAATGAGTAAATTACACTTTTAATGAATGTTCTTTTAAACTTTTTAAGTAAGAAACTATGCAATAGATGTTTATAATAATTTTTAAAAGATCATCTTATGTTACAGATTACAAATAAGTACTTCTAACATATGCTTAATCTTATTTTAAAAAGATTTATTTATAGGTCTTTGAGAAGTAATGAAATAAATTTATTACTGCCTAGAAATCAAAATGTTATTAAAAATAGTTCACAATTATTTTGTGTATATTTACACATATGACACAAGTGTACACACTTTAGCATAACATTTGTCACCTTTAGCATAAAATTATAGAGATAACTGAAATAAACAAAAAGCTAATGATTAGGACAACTAGTTGAGATTGGCTAATTTATTATAGTTCAATGTATACCTAAAGTTATTATATTATTTAAGGTGTATCTGAACATATTATGTAGCTATATGTGTGTACAGCTGCATTATCTAACTTTTTAAAATATTATGCTTTATAGCCCAATATTAATATTCTTTGTTTTCTCTAGATTTTCCATATGTAATTTCATGCATTTTCCAAGTTTAGGTAAGAAGAAGTCATTTGAATAGAAAAAACTGAATAAATTGTGATACAACATAAAAACAAATATCAACCATTTTTAATCTGTGTACATTGATAGGACTACCCAATCCTCAATTATATCATTGTGGCATTTGAAACTATAGCTATAATTATAAAATATTTGATAATACTAATTTGTTAGCTGATTATTTATTTTATGGAAATAATTGTCCCACAGGAAAAAAAAATATATGTCTGGACATTACACTTATGTTCTAATAGCAAAGTACACATTAGTGTATTATTTCTTCTTACCTTGGAGAGAATAACCAAATTTCTCTTGTTAGAATCTCTAAAACAAGTATAAAAAAAACTGTTTAAACAGAATTTCTGTACAGACAAGTTTTGAGAATATCTTCAGGATAACAAGGAACCATTTTTATATAATATAAATAGGTCAGTCCTGTTCCATTTTATCTAAAGACGTGAGCACCCATGATATCACCATGAAACCTCTGGGGACCTAG